CAAAGAGGAGGGTCAACACAGAGGAATCATTTCTTCCATGCTTCCAAGCGAAGCCAACCATGGTTGAGTAGGACCTTTGACTTATCTTCACATAGGTGGAACTGGTAAAAGAAAGGAGCCAGGGGCTCCTCCCAAGCCCATGTGACCCCTGAGAAATAGATCCTCAAAAGATCTTAAGAGTAATAGTTTTTTTTTTTTTAAAGAAACATAGTAACCAAAGTAGATCAGTGTGGTATATTGGTTACTTTTCTGTTACTTCGATAAAATATCATGACTAAGAACAACTTAAGAAGAAAGGTTTCATTGTGACTTAAGTAAGGTTCCAGAGGGGCTAGAGTCCATCATGCCTATAAAGGCATAGCATAGCTGAAGGAGCGGGAAACTGGCTCATCACATTTTTATCCAAACACAGGAAGCAGTGAGAGTGAAGGGGAAGTGAGGTGAGCCTATAAACCCTCAAACCCTGCCCCCAGTGACATACTTCCTCCAAAGACAGTACCTCCTAAAAGTTCCCCAGCTTCCCAAATAGTGCTATCAACTGAGGACCAAAGGTTCAAATACATGAGCCCATGGGGGACATTTCTCATTTAGACTCCCACATAATGGTAATAAGGCTATGTAAGGGAAACTCTGTGTGTGTGTGTGTGTGTGTGTGTGTGTGTGTGTGTGTGTGTGACAGTAAATGTACCATCAAGCTTTACCTATTATAAACAGAAACAAGCTGATCAGTTTACTGGAAATTTATGTTAAGGCAAGGAATCCAAATGCATTGTAGAGATGTACACCTACGTTCACCTGTTGTACACCTGTGTTCTTAGCACTCAGAAAACTGAGGCACAAGGATCCATAGTTCTAGACCAGCCTGGGCTATTTAGTGAGACCCTGTCTTAAGAAAACTGGAAAGAAAAACCAAAATCAAAATAATGCTAAAGCATTTTCATTTAAAACACTGCATATAAAAGTGATTTACAAAGTTTTTTCTATGTAGGTCTTTAGGTTCTGTTTGTGGATCTGAGCTATCATTCTCTTTATACACCACACTCAGAATGAAGTGTCAGTAACTTCTCTTCATCCAAGTACAGATTACAGATTCCTTCTGGGTTTTTCTAATCTGCTTTGCCTATGCTAAACACTCACTCTACCATTAAGCCATACAAACCAACAGCCCCTTTCATGTGCTTTTAGACACTCACTTTCTTGAGCTTTCCAGTCATTTGGTTTGTTTTTGTGGAAAGAAATCCTTCTCTTTTTGTACTCATATTTTATTGGTTAACAGAATATTAAATTGTGTTATTTCACTGACAAAAATAGTTGGTTTAGGGGCTAGAGAGATGGCTCAGTGGTTAAGAGCACAGCTTGCTCCAGCAGAGAACTCAGGTTCGATTCCCAGCACCCACATGGTGGCTAACAACTGTCTGTAACTCCAGTTTCAGGGGATCTGATGGCCTCTTCTGACCTCCATGGGCATTGCATGACATGGGTGCACTTACATGCAGGCAATGCATTCCTACACATTATATAAAAAAATAATAAAATGAAATAAAGGTAGTTGGTTTGGGAATAGACAAAACTGGTTTTTGTTAAGCATGGAGCTCATCTGAGGGTAGCAAAAGTAGGTGGGCCTCCTAATTCTTTGCTCACCAGCGTAAGGTTCAGCTTTTGGAGGTAGAGAGAGTGTCAGAAACCCAAGTGCTTTGTGACCAAGTTCATACATATATATGACCAACATATAACATTTATTATTATAATGTGAGAGGCATTATAAAATATAAAAATGTACTTTGGTTTTGCCAGGTGTGGTGGGACACGCCTTTAATCCCAGCACTCGGGAGGCAGAGGCAGGCGGATCTCTGTGAGTTCAAGGTCATCCTGGTCTCCATAGTGAATCTAGGACAGCTGGGGCTACAGGGAGACTGTCTCAAAAAGACCGAAAAAAAAAAAAAAGTACTTTGGTTTTAAGAAAAAGTGTTAGATACAACTTAATAAAAAAAAGTTTGAAAACCACTATATTCTATAACTCAGAGCATTAACATTTATTTTGGGGAAATATGTAGTCTTCCTCTCCTTAGAATTACCTCCTGTACTTGGGGTGGGGGGTGGGGGGTGGGGATAACAATGATTTAATATAGCCTTGCTCTTTTGTGTCCATCCTGGACATAGTACATGCTTAAATCTCCAAAGCTGAGGGAATGGCTTAAAACTATGCAATAGGTCCTTATATGTGTATTGTACATTTTACATGCTTTGTCTCTGTGTGCTCAAGCTGATCTTAGACTTAGCTCAAACTTCTAGAGTGCTTAAACTATAAGTGTGTGCCACTGTACCTGACCTTTGTTTATTTTAATTGGATGGGGGGATTGATATACAAAGCTGAAGTTATATTATGCTACGTAAGAGTTAGGGTGTATCGATTTAAATATCTTAAACAGTGGTACAGAAATGACTGAAACTAACCTAAAGGGCTGTTTTGGCTGTGGCTCATTGTAGTCCTTGGTTATATCTGTACCATCATTTATTACTGTACCTAGGTCTAATGAGGGTAAGCAGTCTATTACATGTGACTGATATTACTCAATTGAAATTCTTTTTCTTTTGCTTTGTGCTATCTGAAAAAGCTAAATTGTAATTTTAATTGTCAAGTTACAAGGTGTTTACTAAGACTTTTTATAGAAACTCTGCATATCCTGGGTAGTAGTTTAGTTTTTACTTTACTTTTGAAAAGTTAGTCTGAGGAAATAGTACCCATCTCAGATATATTTGCCATTTTATTGTCTTGGGCTAAGTATATATATGTATATATTTTTTTCCTGCCTCTTAGAGCAATTTTTTAGTGCTTCTTAATTTGTTTTCTACAGATGCAATTTCTTTGTTAGTATTATATACTTTTATTTATTTAGAACTGGATATAAATATTTCATTTCAAGGCATTCTGCCTAGGAGCATTATTTGGTTATTTTTGTTTTGTTTGTTGTTGTTTTGCTTTGATATAAAGTCTTGCTGTGCAACTCAAAGTAACCTGGAATTCCTGATATTTCTTAGTTGACATCCCAAGTGCTGCGATTACAGTCATGCACCTTCATGCCCCCCAAGAATACTATTAATTTAGGATACTGCGATAGTTGAACTTTGCTCCCTGTTGTGGTCACTAATGATATGTGGCTATTTAAGTGGAAATTAATAAATTAAAGATTTAGTTATTTAGTTTAGTTATTTAGTTAGTGCTGAGTGCCTACTGCATTGGACTCACTGACATTTCCATCATTGGAAAGCAGGCAGTGAATACCATCTTTTGTCTTCAACTTCTTTTCCCACCCTCCTCCAAGAAGAGTGGACACACAGCAAGAGTACAAATAGGAGATATTTTATTGTTGATTCAGGATTAATAACCTTTAAGTGAGATAAAACTTTAAACAGACTGCCACAATGACATTTAAATAAAACAGGTTTGAACTCTCGGTAGCATTGGGATGCTAGCTAGCCTGGAGTAGTGACCGCTGTGATAAGTGTTCCAGCTCCAAGAAGTGCTACAGCTAGGAAGTTCTTGCAGAGCTTTGGGATGTCAACCAAGAGCAGTACCTTGCAGAGCAAGTCTAGGTCACCAGAGGAGTAGCAGTAGCAGCAGCCTTCTTGTCACTAGCATGTTTCAGTGGAGTCACGGAACTCTGGAGTAGCAGGTATTGGGGACTGGAAGCAGCTGTGGGACTCAATTCCCTTTTGCAAACAGGTCTAGTGTGGAGTCTTGGAAGCTGAGGCAGGAGCAAGTCCCTCTGTCAGCAGCTGTTGGTTGAGTCCTGGAGGCTGGCTTGAGGGAGCTCCCTGCCCAGGGCAGATGCCTCAGATACAAGCAGCCATTAAGTCTGTTCTTAGACATTTTTAAAATTTTATTTTTATTTTATGTGTATGAGTGCTTAGCCTGCTTGTATATATGTGCACCATGTGCATGTAATGGCCACAGAGGCCAGAAGAGCATGTCAGAGCCCCTGGAACTGGAGTTATGGATGATTGTTAGTCATCATGTGGATGCTGGGAACCAAACTGGAGTCCTCTGGAAGAGCAGTCAGTGCTCTTAACCACTGAGTCACCTCTCTAGCATCCCGTGGCAGTTCTTGATGGTAGTCTTCTCCAGTAAGTGAGCCAGCTAGGAGCTGGACCCTGAAGTCTTCCTTCTCTTCCTCCTCCATTGGCTCCTGTAGCCCCTGGACATCTGAAACAGAACGAATCAGGGAAGAGCTTTCAAATCTGGTGGGTGGGACCCTGAGCCTGCCAAAAGTTGCTCAAAGTTCACAGTCAGGTCTGCAGATCTCAGTCTCTGCAGAGGTAGAGAAACTTACAAGAAAGTTTCTGTCTGTTCCTAGTTGCTATAGTGACCAAGCAGGCCTCCTGCTGCTTTTCTGCTTCATTCAGCCAGGGCATTACACTCAGTCCTGAGTTTTCCTTTTCAGCTGCTGCCATCTTAACAGTTCTCTGGGATTCTTTTGCCCTAGAGGCTTGAGCCTTCTGGCTGTCAGAAACTGCTATATTGGTGAGGAGGAACCTGCCTGAAACAATTTCAGAAATTCCATTGTGCAGTACTGAGCATAGTATTTGTGATTCTTTATTTTATTTATTTATTTATTTATTTTATTGTGTGTGTGTGTGTGTGTGTGTGTGTGTGTGTGTGTATGTGTGTGTGTTGTCTGCATGTAGGTAAGTGCACCCATGTCGTGAAATGCCTGCACAGGACAGAAGAGGCTGTCAGATTCCCTGGGACTGGAGTTATGGACAGTTGTTAGCTGCCATGTGGGTGCTGGGATTCGAACCTGGGTCTTCTGTAAGAACAACCAATGTTCTTAACCACTGAGCCATCTCTCCAGCCCCTGTGATTCAGTTTTGAAACCCGGATTGCATGCACACATAGACACACATACCCTAATCTATAAAGTTCTTGTGATTTCTTAAAATTTAGTTATTTGATCTCACAGAGGATATTTCGTATGATTCCATGGTTCTTAAAAATTAGCTTCCAAAGTAGCAGATTTCCTTAATCACCTTAAGACATGTTTTTACTATTTCTTCTTTATTTATGTTGACTTTTTTCTGGTTTTTAGATTTATTTATGTCTGTGAGCCTGAATGAGTATATGAACTCCATGTGTTTGCAAGAGCGTACAGAGGTCAGAAGAGGGTATAGGATCCTCTGGACTTAGACTTACAGGTGGTTGTGAGCCACCATGTGGGTCCAGGAGCTGGAAGCCATTAAGTGCTCTCAACCATGGATCCACCTCTAGCCCCTCTTTATTCTTAATGAAAAAAGATGTTTTTTATTATTATTGTGTGTGTATGTGTGGAGGTCAGAGAACAACTTTTGTGGGGTTGGTTATCTCCTTCCTTCCACATTTACGTGGGTTCTGGGGATCAAACTCAGGTCATCAGGCTTGTAAAGCAAGTATCTTTAACCTGCTAAGCTTTGTTTGTCACTGGCCCTTTTAATTTTTTTTTTTTTCATATTGAAACAGGCACCTAAGAAAAATGTGTTTTAATTTTGTATGTGTCGTGAAGATGAACGTGGTTTTTTGTTTTGTTTTGGTATCCTTTGTTTCTTAGGAAGCAAGAAGCTACTATGAGCAAACTGGCATTGATCCCCTGCCTGCTGTCCTGTTTAATGGAATGCCCTTTGAAAAGGAACAGCTAGATCCTGACGAGTTAGAAACTATTACAATGCACAAGATCTTGGAGACCACTACCTTCTTCCAAAGAGCAGTGTACTTGGTGAGTGGCATTTTCAGGCCAACTTTGAACATAAACAGTTTACATTTTGTGCCATCTGTAGTAAAGAGTAGAATTCTGTGTCATGATTTTTAATATGCCATTAGTAATTGGTTTGCCAACTCCTAAAAAGTCTTGCTATAAGGAAAATATTCATACAACTGTATATTGTAATTGAAATAGCAAATTTTGTGAGAATTTCTAAGAGACTTCTGTTTGTAAGGAATTCTGACTTTGGAAAGATGCTTTACTTATATATAAATATTAGTTATATATTATGGATAGAGACTTTACACGGTGTGAAAATGAACTTTTAATTGATTTTTATTTTGCTCATTTATTTACTTGCAGTGCTGGGAATAGAACTCAGGGCCTTATGTACACTAGCCTAGTTATCTACTACTAAGCTATCTCCCCAGCTCCAAACTCAACTACTTAAAAATATCCAAGTGAGTGGTTCTGAGTCAATACACAGTTGTGCATCTAATTTCAAAAGGTATCAGTGCTAAAAGAAGCTTGTTCCCAATAGGAGTCACTACCAGTTTTGTTCCTCCCCTAGCCCTGGCAACTGACTTTTGTCTCCATGGATTTGTTTCTTCTGAACACTTCTTTAGATAGAATTGCTGAGGTCAGACTGCTGCCAGTTTGATCTGATTCTGCTCTACATCCCAGTCCTCTAATCAGGTGATTAGTCTTTGTGGTACTGCCAAACCTGGATCATTATGTTAGCATAAACTAAGGATCACCTAATATAAATCGGGTATGATCTGAGAGGTTCACTGTGAATGTAAATAAGATGCTTCTGCTACTATCTTAAGAGCTAACTTCCCGGGTTCCAGGGACAGTCATATATTTGGGGCGAGGAGGGAGCATGAATGAAAGAAAAACTGAGAGACCAACCCTCATATGTCTCTCAAGTAATAAACTGATGAGCTATCTTTGTGTTCATTTTTTTTTAATTTTTCTGTCAGCTAAATCTAATGAACCCCTCTAGTAATTGTTTCAGTCATTATATGTATTTTCCTTCCCTTCCTCCCTCCCTTCTTCCTTCCTTTCTTCCTTTGTGCTGGGGATCTAACCCAGGGCTTTGTACATGCTAGACAAATGCTCAAAATCCCTAGCCCATCAGTCATTTCATATATATAATTAAATTTATTTATTTATTTGTTGTCAGGGTTTTGCTGTTAACCCAGGCTGGCCTCCAACTAAGATCCTCCTGCCTCTGTCTCCTGAGTACTACTACACCTGCTGTTTTGTTTTGTTTTGTTTTGTTTTGTTTTGTTTTGTTTTGTTTTGTGATCAAATCTTCCTATGTACCCCATACTGTCCGTGAACTGGCAGTCTTCCTGCCTTTACCATGCACAAGTACCAGGATTACAGGTGTGTGCCACCAGCTATCATTAGATTTCTTTAACTCTGGATTTTTTATTTGATCCTTTTATGTAATTTCATTTTTATTGATACTATCTATGGTTCTCACATTTTCCTTTAGTTCTTTTGAGTATTTTTTAATATAGCTTATTTAAATTCTTTGTTTTAAGTCTAAATAGTATGTAGGGGTTTTTCTTTTTTTCTTTTTGCATGTGTTCATGTTTTCTTTTGATAATTGGACTTTTTAGATAACGTAATCCAACTCTTGAAAACTGAACCTTCACTTTACAAAGATGCTGTTTATTCTTGCTCTATTTGTTGCAGCTAGCATTTGTTTAAATACTTTCTCAAATAAATTCTTTGTCATGTGTGAATGTTTAACTTATTAATTAGCTAGTAAATGAACAAATTTTCTTAAGTGTATTGATCTAAAATACTTTCCCAAATATCTCTGTGTTCATGTTTGGGCATGGCTTGAGTATTCAGCTAAGGCAGTTGACCGCTCTCCCTTAGCCTTCTGCTTGTCTGTGTGTGATGCTGGGGTTTGAACCCAGGGCCTGTGTATGCTAAGCAAGCACTCTCTCAGCCAAATCTTCAGCCTTAGCCTTTAAGTATTGCTTGCACAGACTATCAAGCTTAGTCAGTAGTGAGAGTTGAGGAATTTCTGTGACCCTCCCTCCCCCATGCACAGTTCTATGGGCATCAGGCTTTAGATTTTAGAGAGTGTCAGGAACTCATAGCCTCTTTAGGATATCTCATTATCTAGAATCAGCTGAGATATTAAACAGTTGCTCCTGGTGTTTTTTGCAAATATTTCAGGGAAAAGCTATTGAGGTGAGATTCTGCTCAAACAGAAAACCCTGGCAACTCTTCACTACTTCTGTTGGGCTGTTGATTTTTCAAGGCTTCTATTAGTTGGAGAGAGGTAAATTTTAGCAGGCCAAGTTAAATAAAACAAACAAAAAAACAAAAAAAACCACAAAGGCCACTTTCCTACTAATATTCAGGCATTTTCTTGAGTAAAAGTCTGTCAGATTTTTGCAGGCCTTTGGTTAATTCTCTGAGTTTGGGGGAAGTTGCTTTTGAATTGTATGTGTATGTGATCTGAGAGTTTCTTTTGGAGCAGATGCTTTTTGGAGGTAATTACTCTACCGTGTCTGCTAAATGTCATACTCAAATAGTACTTTAAATGTCAAATTACATTGGTATACTTGTAACCTTAAGTTGAAATATATACTAAATTTTTATTGTAGTGAAGGATACAAAACATAAAACCTTACCGCTTCAGTGTACAGTTGAGTGGTATTTAGTACAGTCACAATCCTGTGCAACCCTCACCACTATCCTGTAGAACCTTTTCATTACTTTTTAAATTTTTATTATTATGAGTGTATGTGTGTGTTTGTGTTTTCATTGTATTATGTTTATTCATTCATCTCTCAGTGGTTGTTTGGATTACGTCCATCTCTTGGATATCTTGAATAATCCTATTATGAACTATGCCCATTCCATGCAGAGCTGAGGATTAAGCCAGACCCTGGTACATGCTAGGCAAACACTCTACCAAATAATCTACATTCCCAGCCCTTTACTGTCTTGATAATGTCCTTTGATGCACAAAAGTTTCAATTTTGATGAAGTTCAATTTATTTATTTTTCCCTTTGTTCTCTGGGTTCATTTTATCCCAGAAAGCACTCCTCAGTCATTGCATGAATGTTGCAAAGATTGTTCCTGACTTTTTTTCCCCTTAGAGCTTTATGCTTACAAATCTTTAGAGTAGAACTTTGATCCATTTTTTAGTTAAAAAATGTAATTATTCTTGCATGTGTGCACATGGGCATGTGTGCCATAGCACATGTGTAAAAGTTAGAGGACAACTCTGTGGAGTCAGTTCTCTCTTTCTGTCTTTACATAAGTTCTAAGGGATTAAACTTAGGTTGCCAGGCTAGCCCAGCAATCAATCACCTTTACCTGCTAAGCCATCTCACCCTCCCTTAAATTAATTTTTGGTTTTTGTTTGTTTGGGGTTTATTTTGTTTTGTTTTGGGGGGTTGTTGTTTGTTGTGTTTGTTTTTTGTGTTGTTTTTGAGGCAGGATCTTCCTATAGCCCCAGATGGCCTGAAACTCACTCTGTGTAGACCAGATTGGCCTCGATCTCACTGAGATCCACCTGCCTTTGCCTTTTGACTATTGGGATCAAAGGCATGTGTCACCACATCTGGCTACTTAAATTAATTTTTATATGAGGTATAAGGTAAGGGCCAACTTTGACTCTTTCGTAAGTTAATATATAGTTTTTCTAGCACCATTTGTTAAAAACATTAGAAATAGATTTTTTTAAAGAAGTGGATTATTGTGCTGATGTTAATGCATTCATACAAAAAATCTTTGGGCCAGGCCTAGTGGCTCAACCCTGTAATCCCAGAATTTAAGAGGCTGAGGCAGGAAAATTGTTGCAAGTTCAAGGCCACCTGGCTACACAGCAAAACCCTGTCTCATAACTTTTTTAAAAATCAAACAAGTCCTTGGTTGAGTTTCATTGCCTCACTCCTAATGTGTAAGAATAGATTTTGCAGTTAAAGTGAAATTCCTTTGTATTTAAGGGATTTGTTTTTTCATAGAACTACTAGAATGAGAACAAATTGGGGGGTGGGAGTGGGGAGGGACCCTGACTCAAAAAAGAAAAATTGATAACATATTTTACTTACCTTCTCACGTCATGTTCTTCCTAGAAACTACTACTTGTGTGTGTGTGTGTGTGTGTGTGTGTGTGTGTGTGTTTGTGTTTGTGTAGAGCTGGACCCAAAGATGTATGCATTTAAAACTGTTATAGATGATGCCAAATTGCCCTCTCTGAGCTACAGAGACTTCTAATTGGAATCAATTGAGATGTATAATATCCAGTGTAGTACGTGTGCTTTTATGTGCACAGCAAGCCAAATAAGTATCTTTGTAGTTCTTTTGAGTAGTATAGTTGTTTCATTTAGTTACTAGTTTATTGTTTGAGAATTGTCATATTTTTCAGGTGAGCAGTCACAAGTACTGTTTAATTGGAATTTTTTAGATCTGATTTGTATTTTTCTCTTTAAAATGACTTTAAAATAGACTTGGGATTGGAGAGATGGCTCAGCAGTTAAGCGTGCATACAGCTCTTGCAGAGGACTCACATTTGGTTCTCAGTATCCACATTGGGTGGCTCACAAGCACATATAACTCCAGATCCAGGAAATCTGACTCCCTCCTCTGGACTCCAAGGTTATCTACACTCGCTTGCACATACCCACACAAAGACATACACACGTAGTTTGGGGGCCAGCCTCAGCTACTACATAGTGAGACACTGCCTGAAAAGATAAATTAAGAATAAATAAATGGAAGTATGCATGTATACATGTATGCATAAAATAAGTATGGACCTCATATGTATATTTGTCTCAGCCTCCTGAGTGCTGGGTGTACATGCTTTTATCCTAAGTATTTTTTTTAATTTTATGTATATGAGTGTATTGCCTGCTTGTATGTACATACACCCATGTCATGTAGTACCCACAGAGATCAGAAGAGAGTGTCAGATCCCCTGAAACTGGTGTTAATGGACAGTTGCTAGCCACCATGTGGGTGCTGGGAACCAAACCTTGGTCTTCTGCAAGAGTAACCAGTGCTTTTAACTGCTGAACCATCTCTCCAGCCCCCTAAGCATGATAAATTGTCAGATTCCACAGTTTCTAGCTTAACTTGTTTCTGAGGCCATGCTTAAGGAAATATAAATTTTTCTCTAATATGAGATACACAAAGAAAAGACCAAATGACAAAAGATGTCCATTGAAGTGCAGTTCTGACCCCTGAGACATTGGCCATCTCAGATGCCCAAGACCTACAAGGTGGAGTGATTTCAGGACCAAGGACAGTAACCATGTCAGCCCAAACCTTTGTGTTAACTCTTATCTGATATTCAGACCTTACTTTTCCTGGAAAAGTACTGCTGTATGGAGAGAGCATTTGTATAGCACAGCTACCATTGACTATGTGACATTGAGAAACTGGCTTAAGTCTTGTACCTGTTCCTCCTCATCTCCTTAGCGTAGCCATATGGTTAGAGATACTGTGTATAAACATCCACATTGTGCTTAACTGTGATTGGGATTACATGTAACTTCTCTCTTTAGCTGTTAACAGATAAGCTGTTATAAAGCCATTAACTTTGTTCCTGGTGAACTGTTGTTGGTGATATTCCGTTAACACTCCTGCCCCTTCTCTTTCTTTTTTTTTCTTCAGGGTGAACTGTCTCATGATCAAGATGTTGTAGAGTATATCATGAATCAGCCAAATGTTGTTCCACGAATTAATTCCAGGATTTTGACAGCTGAGAGAGAATATCTGGATTTAACAGCAAGTAGTAAGGAGCATTTCAGGAAAAATTTGGGGGTTTGGTTTTATGCTTCATGTTCCTCGTATTTATTGGATAGCTCAAGATTTTGACATTGTCTTATGTTTAGGCTCTTTGTACCTGGAATTCATGATAATATACTCCTGAACTCATAGTAATTTCCTTCTACAAAAGATTATTCTTTCTCCATAAAACCTTGTAAACTTTAAAAAAAAAGATTTAGTGCCATTTAATGCCAAATAGGTGATGCTATTAGATGACAAGAGTAGACCTGCACTGTTAACCTTACAACCTAGCCAGTTCTTTATTCCTTATTTTCATTTTAGAGTTAATCCTGAATAAGATCAGCAAATATCTCAACTAGGCTTGCTCTGCAAACCCAGGAAGGCCTTTTTCTTTCTGCTGGGCATAGTAGTGCATACTTGTAATGGTGACAGTATTGAGGCTAAGGTAGGAGGAAAACAAGTTTAAGGCCAATTGGACTGTATAGTGAGTCTGAGACCAGCTTGAACCTTACTACATTTTAAAAAACAAAACAAACAAGAAAACACAGTAGTTTTGTTGAGATACAGCATATATGCCGTAAAACTCAATCTTTTTTTTAAAAAATGGTGCTAGTATTCATTCTAGGGTCTCATGCATGCTCAGTAAGTACTTGATGACTCTGCTATATGCCAACCCAATACTCAACTTTTTTGTTTTTGTTTTTGAAGCAGGGTCTCTCTGTAGTCCCTACTGACCTGGAACTTGCTGTGTAGACCAAGCTGACCTTGATCTCACAGAGCTGCACCTGCCTTTGCCTCCTGAGTGTGGCGGCATAAGGTGTGCACTTCCACACCCTGCTCTCAGTATTCAACTTTTTAAAGTATATAGCTTATGGCTTTTAGTTTATTCTCAGAGTTTCGCAGTTACCACCGTTGTCTAATGCTATAACATTGTCATCACTCTCATAAGAACCTGTATTCCCTGAGTAGTCACTCTCCATTTCCCTCTCCTGTTCCTTGGCATTAAATCATCTGCTTTCTGATTCTATGGGTTTTCCCATCTTAGGACATTCCATGTAACTGGGAAGCCTTCAGTGTCTGGCTTCTTTCATTTAGCATATTTCTATAGCTCATCTTACAGTATTTCATTTCTTTTAATTCCTTAAATATCCTATTGCTATGAATTGATCAACATTTGGGTGTTCTCTACAACTATAGCTTTTTAAGAAACAATGAACAGTTTGTTCCATATGCCTTTCATTCAGACTCTTAAGGGCACTTGGCAGATACCTGGAAATAAGGTGGCGTTCTCATCATTTGCCTGTTATGAGTTTTCCCTCTAAGAGAAGGAACAGCATGTGAAATCATAGCCAGTTGCATTTGTTGTTGTAGCTGAGTTTTAATGAAAATATGCAAGCCTGTAATCACAGCTGCTTGTGAGGCTGGGACAGAAGGATCACAAATTAGAGACCTGCCTTAGAGACCTGCCTTGTCTATGTAGTTAGTTCAAGGCTAGCATAGGCAACTTAATGAGATCCTGTTTTAGAAATAAAAGTAAGAAAGACTGTGGATTAGCCCAGTTGTAGATTGCTTGCCTAGCTTATGCAAGGCCATGAGTTCAAGTCCCAGTACCTGTCAGGGGAGGGAGAAAAGGGAAACAAAAATAAAATGTAGATCAAGTTCAGTTGATAGACTGCTTGCCTAGCATGCATGAAGCCCTGTGTTTAATCTCCAGCACCACATAAGCTAGGTGTGAAAAACCTGTTCAGAAAGTCATCTAAATAATTGCCTCACAGACCAGGTATTAGCTTCTCAGCAGAAATTGTTACTGAGCAAGGCAAGTAGTGTCATGATGTTTTGTCCTAAATCTGTGTTGTTTCCTTTTAAAAAACAAAAATGAAAAACAGGGTCTCATTATACAGACCTGGCTGGTCTGGAACTCACTTTTGTATACCAGGCTAGCCTAGAACTCAGAGATTGCCTGCCTCTGCTTGCCTCTGCCTTCCAAGTAATGGGAATTAAGGCATGTGCCACCACACTGACTGTGATGATAGGCTACATGTGGTGGTGCAGGCTTATAATTCCAGGCCAGTTGAGCTACACAGTGAGTTCCAGGCCAACCAAGACTGTATTGTGAGACAAAAACAAAAACAAAAACAAAAAAAAAGGAAGGGAAGAAGGAAGGGAGGTAGGGAGGAAGGAGAAAAATCCACAACAAATAAACAGAAGTTGTGAAAAGCAGTCTTTGGAGTACCATTGTATAAGGAACATGGTGGCAGTACTGTGTGTTGGATTGCTTCTCTGGCCTGTGCTGTCCTGGGACCTTTTTAAGAAAACTGTTTAAGCTGGCCATCGTGGCACATTGCTTTAATCCTAGAACTGTGGAGGCAGAGGCAGGATCCCTGTGAGATCCAGGCCAGCCTGGTCTACATAGTGAATTCCAGGCTAGCCGAGGCTACAAGGAGACCCTGTCTCACAAAAAAGAAGAAGAAGAGGAGGAGGAGGAGGAGGAGGAGGAGGAGGAGGTGGTGGTGGAGGAAGAAAGCCTTTTAAGTTTGTCATATTTTCATTGCCATGGCAAACTACCTGAGAATGTCAACTTAAAAGGAAGAACGGTTTATTTTGGCTTTGAGATTCAGAGATTTTATCCCACGGTCAGCCCTATCCCATGGTTTAGGGCTGGGGGCATGGCAAAAGATTGTCACAAGGAGCATGTGGTGGAGCAGTGTTGCTCATTTATTTTGCCTGGGAAGCAAAAGAGACAGGCATACCCCCAGTGACCAACTTCTTCTCAGTAAACCAAACTTAATGTACTTACTACATTTTTATAGCTTGTATTTTATGGTTGAAACCGGTTAATCAGTTGAGTATTACTGGTAGATTGAATTGAAGCATATTATTTATGCATGTTTCTTTTTACCCAGATAGCTTCTTTGTGGATGATTATGCCAGATTTTCTGTCTTGGATTCTCAGAGCAAGACTGCTGCTATAGCCAATAGTATGAACTATCTGACAAAGAAAGGTAATCCGTTCAGGCTCATCTTGGATTCAGTGTTTATGTTTTAGTATTTATAAATATAACTCCATCTTAATGTTGGGAAAATAGATTCCATAATTCCTTCTATTCATTCTTATAATGCTTTTAGTCTAGAAAATACCTGTTAAGGGGACTGGAGAGATGGCTCAGTAGTTAAGAACTGACTGCTCTTGGCGTAGGACCCAGGTTCAATTCCCAGCACCCACATGGTGGCTGACAACTGTCTGTAACTCCAGTTCCAGGGGAATCTAACACTTTCTTCTGATCTCTTCAGGCATTGCATGACACAGGTGCACTTACATACATGCAGGCAACACACACATACACATAAATATAAAAATAAATAAATAAACAAAATATTTTAATAAATAAATAAAATACCTGTTAAAATTTATTTATGTATCTTTAAAAATTCAAATGTTTACTTTCTGAATTTTGTTAGTCATTAAAATTTTAAAAAAACCTTTCATAGTTCAAAATGGAAACACATTATGTGAGCATGGGTTAATGCACTGAAAAATGTTTTTGCCTGACTCTGGTGACAGCACAGAGTTAATTTTATTTTAGGGTTTGTAGCGTGAACTGGATTCTAGAAAGCTTTGTGTAGGTTTTTTAAACTGACTTTGATACAGAGTTCTTTAGTTAAGCTACAGTTGTATAAAGTGAATTCTTTTCAAGGGTAGACAGGTCCTTTCTCCTGTCTACCCTTATATTAACACTTATAACTCTTCCAAACTAGTTCTATTTAATACTTATTATCCTTCCAAAAAGCAACAGTTGTCCTTAGGATGACATTTTTTTTTTCTGTCTTTTTGAGATAGAGTCTCCCTGCAACTTCAGCTGTCCTGGAACTCACTATGTAGACCAGGCTGGCCTCAAACTCAGAGATCCACCTGCCTCTGCCTCCCAGGTGCTGGGACTAAAGGTGTGTGCCACCATGCCCATCAGGACAGCTTTTATCCCTTGTGTGGTCCTTCCTTGGGAGGATGTCTGGTTTTTCCTTTAAAAAAACCTGTCTGAAGGGTCTGGGAATAGATCGGGCAGGAAGAAGCAGGGTCCTGTCAGCCATGTGTAATTGTTTGACTCTTGTGGTAGATGTTTATTTATAGAAATGACATTCTTTTTTCTTTTACTCTTTTTCCTTTGCCTTTGTCCAGGAATGTCCTCCAAGGAAATCTATGGTAACTGAAAACTTCAGAATGTTCTGTTTGTTTTCTACATTATCTTACATAGTTTTAAGGACCAATGTGATTCAGAATTTATTGAAATTTCATTGTGATGTTTCTGAAACCTGTGGGTAATAGTAGAGATAGCAGTGCAGATAAATTGTATACCCTTTCAGAAATTTGCAAATTAAGGTGCTTAAACACTATACTCTGTTACTCACATGTTTCATCTTATATGTTAACAGATCCCAGCCCACAGGACAGTTAATCACTGCATGTTACTAGTTTATAATTGAGTGGCTTGAAAGGTTACCCTACTCCATTTTAGTAGAGAAGTTGCACTACTTTTGCCTCATTAAATCTTCATTAAATTAATCACTTTCTTATTTTTCTTTTTGCATGTTTTTTCAGAAATTATTTGGCTTAATTTTAATGGCACATAGAGACTTCAATCTTTTAGTCAGTTTGTTGTTTTTGTTTTTCTACAGATGATTCTTTTATTAGGCCAGTGACTTTTTGGATTGTTGGGGATTTTGACAGCCCTTCTGGACGGCAGTTACTGTATGATGCAATTAAACATCAGGCAAGTATCTAGGGTCTCATTCTGTGGGGGCTTTGTTGTTGTTGAGTTGCAGTTGGCCTTCTGAGCCTCTCTGTGCTGATGTGATTGTTCTGCTGGTTCCAGCACTACTTAGTGCTGAAGGAAAAGAGCACAGTGCCCTCAGAGGTTGTCAGCTCATAAAAAAGAGGTCAAAGACTGCAAGAGCCTAGACTTACTTAAGGTAAGAGATTCTTTTAGGAAAAAAACATAATGAGATCCTCGATATAAGATTTCCTTGCATAATGGTTCTTGCTGCAGTGATTTTGTCATATGCTATAAAGGAAGTTATTCTGATGCTGAGAGAGGCCCACGTGTGTAATAGTAGCACACAGGCAAGGTGGTATGTATTCCACTAAAGCAGATGTAGGCTTCTAGAGAAGTGCTCCACAGCTACTCTGAAAGACCTGATACATGTACAGTAGGAGTCAGAATCAGTGCCAAATGGTTGAGAAGAAATTGATTCTTTTGGATAGTGTCATTGTCAGAAGAGCAGGTGTCATCCTTCCTGGACTATTTTCACTTTGCAGCTTCATCTAGAAATCATATTTCTTCTTCTGTCTTTCTCTACCTTGAGCTCCAGGATAGCTGACTGAAATAAGGAAATACGTAGGGAAGTTCAGTACCGTGGTGCCAAGTGTCTTTAGTGTTTGAGGGGATGAACTGGATACTGTAGTCAGTTGAAGCTTGAATCAGGGCAGTTTACAGTGATGGATGATGTTTTATACATGAGGAAGCTAATACAAACTGAAAAACTTCTCTCGTGGTACTGTGGTGGGAGAACTGGGAAGGAGACTTCAGTCTTCTTATTTTCATTAAGGTAAAATATAGCTTGGTATACTTAGTGTCACAAAGTGAACACACCCATGTGTCTACCACCCAGATAAAAAAATGACACCCCCAAAAGCCCTGATCATTTGTTTCCTAGTCACTCCTTCCTTCCTCCTCTTATGTCATACAGTTTTAGAATGTGGACTTGCATTTGGTTTCTTCACTCAACATTTTGTGAGCTTTGTCTGTGATGTTAGAAGTACTGGCATTTCTTTTTCATTGAGTAGTATTCTATCATATGGCTGTACAACAAAGTTTTGTTTAGTGATTAGTCTGTTTGAAGGCGTTGTTTTTTATTGGGCTCTTACAATGTTTCTGTGAATATTCTTACAGATGTCATTTGATGTATAGTAGTATAAATTTCTATTGCTTCCTTTTTTTTTAACGAATTTGGTTTTACAGCATTTTTATTTATTTACTTATGAAGAGGGCCACAAACATGCCATGGTGCTCATGTGGAAGTCAGGGAATAACTTAAGGGGGAAGCCTGTTCTCTCCTTCCACCACAGGAGTCACAGAGATTGAACTCAGTAATTAGCCTTGGTAGCAAGTGCCTTCACCTGCTGAGCATCTTGCTGGTGCATGCATATTCTTGATTCAAGCTCTATTTTGGGTTTATGGGCCCCAGATATCTTCTCCCACATGTAATCCTGGTTTGGTTTGGTTTGGTTTTCACCCTTGTTGCTACTTGGCATCTGGAAAGGCCATGTGTTAAGATGAGTGCAAACAGAGCCATGAAGAACAGATAGAACTTAGGAGGGTAGAAAATGTGTTGAGCAAAGATAGCACTCTGGTGGTCTGTGGTGGCTACAGTGCTTATAGAAAGGAAGTTGGAAAAGAATCTTGGGGCATGTTCATACAGAATTTGGTAAGCCTGTTCATATACAGTATCTGAATTTTATTTTGAGTACAATTACTAAAGACTTTTATAGGAGATGCTGCTGTGGAACATGACTAATGTTAATGTTGCTTTTTTAGGTTCAAAACATCTATCATATAATTCTTATCTCCCTTTTTGTAAATAGAAAACCAGCAACAATGTTAGGATAAGCATGATCAATAATCCCAGCCAAGAAATAAGTTATGAGAACACTCTGATCTTTAGAGCAATCTGGGCAGCTCTCCAAACACAGACCTCCAACTCTGCTAAGAATTTCATCACCAAAATGACCAAAGAGGACACTGCAGAGGCCCTGGCCACAGGCACAGACATCGCAGAGTTCTCTGTTGGGGTAAGGCTTGCAGGTTCCAGCTGCCCTGGTCATTCATGGTCTTCTCCCAGGCTAATGTATACTGTTCATAATATGAGTTGTGATTACTTCTGAATCTCAGGATATTTTTTGTTAACTTAGAACAACCTCAACAAGAAATAATTCTGTCATATTACCTTTTCCTTTTAAACTTGCCTTGGCTTCAGGATGCTCGAGATACAAGTTTGTGCTTTAAGTAAAATGCCACTTGCTTTGTACCATTTTTAAAAGACAGTATTTTATTTGTTTATAGAGTAAAACACAGACGTGAACCATTCATCAGTTAGAGGCTCAAGAGTTCTTGTTTCTAGTAAAAGCTTAAGTTTATTCATTTGTTTAATATATAAATATTTTTGACAGTGTTTATAGTTTTAAAATTTCTTATAAAATCATGAGTATATTGAATTTCATTTAGAGTATATGACAGTCATCTGAAGTTAACAAGGTTTTAAAATGTGAAATAAAGTTATGGAGAATAGACTACTATTTGAATAAATCAGTAGAAAAATAGTAGAAAGGAATAAGCGATTACTTTATGAGCAGGGGACAATGGAGAATTGAGGTGTAACGTTAATTAGGAAATTTGTTTTTTCACAAAAGGATTTCTTAGTTTACTCATTGTGATTATTCAGTTATGTGGTTTGCTTAATAACAGTGACTTTCATTTAAAATGTTACTCTCCTAGGGCATGGATTTCAGTCTTTTTAAAGAGGTCTTTGAGTCTTCCAAAATGGATTTCGTTTTGTCTCATGCCGTGTACTGCAGGGATGTTCTGAAGCTGAAGAAGGGACAGAGGGCAGTGATCAGCAACGGACGGGTGAGGATTTGTTGGCCAGAAACAAGCTTGCCTTCTTAGATCTCTAGCCTTAGATCCTCTCTTTGAGGCTGGCAAACTTTCCAGCAGATCCCCCCTCCCTCAGAGCTGATTAGGACTTCTGAATGCCAATGATAGATATTTCTGTCCTATCTTTCCAAGGAAGTATGCTTTTGTGGTGGTGGCGAGGGGAGACCAGTGAGTTTATTGGGCTTGTTCACAGAGCAGGATTAGGGGTTACTTAGAGAACAAGTGACCTCCAAACAACTGCATCATTGTCCCACCCTCATCATGGATGGTTACCTCATCCATGATGTAAGCTATATCATAGAGTCCTCAGGAAGTAGGCTTTTGAGACAATCCCCCGTGGGGAGGCTTCCTGCTGTTTATTTCTATCCTGCTGTTGTTGGAGGTAGTGAGTGTGGTGGCTCTTAGAACAGAAATCACTGAAGTCCCTTATACATAAAGTAGACCTTATTGCTATTTACTAAGAATTAATGCGAACTATTGCTATTTTATGTCAGTTTGCTTACTTGGAAAATTAATGTGAAACATACAAGTCTCTACTCTCATATCTGTGAAGAATTAGGTAAACAAATGACTGAGTTGTTTTAAGCTTTGTTTTTTTGTTTTTTCTTATTTTTAGACATGTCCCAGGCCTGGTTTTTTAAGGCACTTTGGTGTGTCAGAAAGCTTAGGGCCAGCAGGGACTTCACATTGACTGATGACCACTGCTCTCCAGCTCTGACCTCTTCTTCTTTACCTCATAGATCATTGGACCTCTGAAGGATAGTGAGATCTTTAAGCAAGATGACTTTCACCTCCTTGAAAATATCATTCTGAAAACTTCAGGACAGAAAATAAAATCTCATATCCAACACCTTCGGGTAGAAGAAGATGTGTAAGTTTTTACAGTTAGAAACTAGTTAGATAACAAATAATAAAACTGATTTTCTAATTAGAAACTAGTTCATGTCTTAGAGTTTGTAATGATTTTTCCTCATTGGTCAAAGTGAGGATTATATATTGTCAGTAATACTACCAATAGTGAGGATTATATATTGTCAGTAATACTACCAATTCAGTGGGTTTTATTTCCAAAGTTACTATAGCCTCATGTTTTCAGTTTTTTTCTAAATTAGTTCTCTTGATTTTTATTCTTTTAACTTTTGATTCTGGAAAAGGTCAGAAATATGCAGAAGTAAAGGGACTGGTTGGTATCTTGCCTGGAATGTTTGCGTAAAGAGACTCCTGACACTTGTTTCTCCTCCTTCAGTTGTTGTGTATGTAGGAACAGAAAGGCAGGTCAAACGCTTCTTTTCATCTGTTTACCAATACCAAATACCATGTTGTTTCTCTTTCATCTGCAAAGGTGGATGGTTAGATGTTGCTGACTTATAATTTTAATTCTTTTATTATTTCTATTAGCTAATGTGTCTGAGGGTGTTATTTCACGTCCAGGGAGGAAATCATTTGAATTAATTGTATATCTGCTATATAACTGGGGTCCATGGTCGTATGTACCTAGTTTCTGCATTAAATATCACATGAATGTGTAATCAGAGGATATATTTCTGTTTCATTTTTTGAGGACTTGCTATACCTTTACCATAATAGCGCCATCATTTTACATTCTTATCGACAGTGTACAAGGTTCTAGTTTCTCTATATTTTACCAATATTCCCTATAGGTTTTGTTGTTGTTTAAATAATAGCCATCCTCAAGTATGTGCAATGATGTCTCTTTAGTTTGATAGTGATGGTAAATAGCTCTTCTCATGCATGTTGACCGTGGTATATATTTGGGAAAGTGTTAAATTCTTTGGTCATTTTTTTTTTTAATTAAAAGAAGCATTTCATTACAACAGCATTAACCTATTCAATAACATTTTTCTGAGCTAGGGTACATCTCTTTCAAAATTGGCTGTACATTTCTATGTTTACAGATGAATTATTACGCTTATATAATCTTTTACTCATTATAAACTCTATAAGACATAAAATTAAATGAGGTTCCAATGTTTACTTTGGTCATTTTTAATCAAGTTGTTTGGTTCTTGTATAGTTGTGGGTATTCTTTATATATTCTGGATCTCAGTTCCCTACCAGATCCATGACTTAAAAATATTTCTCCTTTTTATCTTTGAATAGTATTCTTTGATTCATAGTTGGGAAATATAAAAAATTAAATTTCTCTTGTTTTTTATCACCTTTTTTATGAGTTGTTATGCTGTATATTGTAGTGATATTTTGTCTTTGACAGCTGCCAAAGTAGCCCCTGTGCAATGTGATATAGAAAGTTTTTTTTGTTTTGTTTTGTTTTTTCCCAGTGCAACCCAGAGCTTTACACATGCTAGGCAAGTTCTCCCCCACTGAGCTACCTCCCCAGACCTGAGAAGAAATCCTTTTCACCAGATTTAATACTGAGGTGGTAGATAAAGCTGTTCCCTCTTACCTCCATGGCTCTTGAGTGTGAGTGCTGCTCCTTTCCTGGACTGTGAAACACTTCCCTGGCGCAGGCCAGTAGGTCTTGCATGAACTGAAGCAACTCTGTCATGGCTGCCTAGGCTTGGTGTGACATGCTCTTGGACTCCTCCCTCTCTCTGTGGCTGCTTGTGGGTAACTCCTTGAATTGCCAGACTGTGCTGCAAGACTGGACTTTTCCCAAGAAGAGATGATTCTTGCTTTGTCCTTATTTCAAGAAATAAAGTAATTGTGAGGCTGCCAAGAGACTGATGCTGAAACTCATAAGGTTCTTAGAATTCCCTTGCCTGCCTGGAGTTTCTAGAGTACCAGAGCCATCATACTTTGAGGGGTCCCCCTGTTAGAGCCATACCTTTCATTCATGGCCTGAGCCTGAAGCCTTAAGTATCTTCTAGCTTTCTGAAGCTTGGCTATGTGCTCATCACGGTGCCTTGTGAGGCCTTTAGAGAGCTGCTTGTCATTCTGGCCTGTGCCAAATGTATTTACAGTTAATATTGAGAAGTTAAACAAAAAAGGTAATTTGATATAATGCTTTGATTTAAAGAGAAAATGTATAAACGTGATTATAGCAGAAATATATTACAAATTTTCTTTTGAATATCATACTTGGGATGTTGCATTGGATTCAAGCTTTTTTTTTAGGCTCATAATGTAGTTCAAGATCTTTGGTTAGAAATCAGCTTTACAAGGGGTGAGTAGGCCAGTATAATGGCTTTAGTGAGTTAAAGGTACGCTGCTGCCAAGCCTGACAAGCTCAATTCAGTTTCTAGGACCCATATAGTAGAAGGAGAGAACTGATTCCCTTAATTTTCTGACCTACACACACAAATGAATAAATGTAATTTTGAAAACCTTTTTTTTTTTTTGGGTCTTTTTGAGACAAGGTCTCCCTATAGCCCTAGCTGGCCTGGAACTCACAGAGAGCCAGCAGCCTCTGCCTCCTGAGTGCTGGGATTAAAGGCATGCACGATGTCCAGCTAAAATTTTTGTGTTTTTGTCTTAGTTTTTTGGTTATTTTTAATGAAATGTATGTATGTGTTGTATTATATGCATATTTTTAATTTCATGTATATGTGGGGGGGTGTACATGTGAATGCAGGTTCCTGTGGAGTTCAGAAGACGATGTTAGATTACCTGGAGCTGCAGTTAGAGACAGTCATGACCTCCCCAACCCCAGTATGGGTGCTGGGAACTGAACTTGGGTCTTCTGCAAGAGCAATGTATGCTCTTACCCACTGAGCTGCCTCTCCAGCCCCCACGCTTCCCCCCCCCAAAAAAAAACTTTTAAATAGAACGAGTAAGTAATGGTTTTTGCCATACTGGGAATCAAGCCTAGATCCTCATGAATAAAAAGGCAGGCACTGTGTCACCAAGCTATGCCTTAGCTCTCGAATATTTTCCTAAATCGTACACTACAATGTTGACTCTAACATTGAAGTTAGAACCAGCATAGACGTTCAGTAGCTAATTGACTTAATGAATTTTGATGTATTTAGTAATCTTCAAATATAATAGCATCAATTTTTAAAAATATTTTTATGTGTATGAGTGTTTTGCCTGCATGTATGTTGGAAGTCAAAAGAGGGCGTCATATCCCATGGAACTGGAGTTACGGATGGTTGTTACCTACCATGTGGGTGCTTGGAACCAAACCCAGGTCCTTTGGAAGAACAACCAGAGCTCTTAACCACTGAGCTATCTCTCTAGCCCCGAATAGCATCATTTAAGAGGATGAAATAGCACGGTAGCCTGCTATGAGTCAGGCCCCGAACTAGGTGCTAATATGCTTAGCCAGTGCAGTATTTACAGCAGTCCTGCAAAGTAGGTACTGACTGCTCTTCACCTGCAGAGAAAAGAAACATCCCAAAGATTATAAAGCTAGTCACAGAATCATTTCATTTCTCGTGCCTGTTGGTATCAGCTTCATGCCTCCTTTAAACCATCTTGTTGGCATTTAGTCTTTGGGCTTATAGTGTTCAGCAGTAATTAGAAAACCTGCAGCTAAAGTGATGCTAAGATTTCATAAAACTCCCATTTTTTAGAGCAAGTGACTTGGTAATGAAGGTCGATGCTCTCCTGTCAGCTCAACCCAAAGGAGATGCGAGGATCGAGTACCAGTTCTTCGAAGACAGATACAGGTATAGAACTAACGTTGAATTTATGTACATTCCTGAATATTAAACTCGGGTTTTCCTTTGTCTCACTTCCTTTGTTTTTCCACATAAGGTTGGTATATAGGTCATTACAGAAACAAGGAGTCAATGTGCAGTTTCCTCTGTATGTTAGTGTTCACATATAAAATTCAGTTCATATAATGATTAGTTGCATGAAAGTTAGTATTTATTTCTAAATAACTCTGCAGTATTGGAGATTGAACCCAGAGCCTCATGCATGCCTAAGCAGGATTCTGCCACTGAGCTGCATTCTATTATTATTATTTTCATGATTTATTTTTTCTCATACTTTTCTTGACTAGAAAGAAAAATTGGCATAATATTCAATCAATGTCAGAATCACGTATCCAGTATGTTTAACAGCTGAGCTTTGTGGTACAAGCATGTGATCCTGGGTACATTGGGCACCTGAGGCAAGAGGAGTGCAAAGGCCAGGATGGGCAACTTAATAAGAGCTGTCTCAAATAGAAAATAAAGAAGGACTGAAGCTGTAGCTTCATACTGGAGCTCTTGCCTAGGAAAGAAAAGAAAACACATACACAAAAACTTTTGGCAACTTTTGTTTAAATTCAATTTTAAACTAGTTTTCCTATCTTCACACAAATTTTTCAGTCCCCATTGTCCAGGGTTTTATAGCTGGGGCTATAGCCTTAATTTTAATATTGACCATCTTTTTAGCTTGTTGTTCTGATGTATATTTTTTGAAATACTAAGATTAGAGAGCTGATATGTTGTACCGGTCTAAACGCCCTGCCCAACTTAACTTTGTTTCCTATTTCTACCATGCTAATATCTTCCTCTTCTGATTTTTCAGTGCAATTAAACTGAGGCCCAATGAAGGGGAGACCTACTTTGATGTGGTTGCCGTTGTTGACCCTGTCACAAGAGAAGCACAGAGGCTCGCCCCCTTGCTCTTGGTAGGGGCTGCTGCCGAAGCAGTTCACATCTGTCACTGAAGTAGTCACAGGCCGGGTGATTCTCTGGACACTTTCTTAGTCCCTTAAACATCAAGAGGTGTTGGGGAATGGTACAGAGCATCTTCATAAGGATTAATAATGGCTCTGAAAACAAATAACGTTGACTATTTTGTGTACCTAACAAAATGATTAACATCTTTGTTTAGAGCAATGTTGAAGCTAAATTGATTGTTACTATATTTTAATTTATAATGGTAAACACAAGGGAGGGGGAAGGTAAAAGATTGAGATTTTTTTCATTTTCCTTATAACTACTATGGAATTTTTGTTAAATGGTAGCATGTCTACATATGTAGCATATGTATAAGCATATATATATATATATGCTGTACTTTTATGTACATTTAAAAGGACGCTAACCAATATAGCAGTGTCACAGTTCATTTTAGTTAGGGGTGTGTGTGTGTGTGTCTGTGTGTGTTGCTAGGGATCGAGAGCTTGGAGCTTTATACATGCTAGGTAGGTGCTCTACCAAGCATGCCTATGTCTTAATTGGCTGCTTCATAGGATAGTAGCACTGCTGAAGTGTGATCATCTGTCCTTTCTGGTAGATACTTGTATATGTGTGTTTTCATGATTTTTTTTTATATGAACTGAAGCATTGAGCACACCTGTTTCCCTGTGTAACTCGATATTCATCACTTTCTATTTCCTCACATCTTTGTGTTAAATTTTATATGAGGAGAAGTGATCTGCAATAGCCTATTTTTTCTTTAAATATTTATTTATTTAGTGTATGTATCTATGTGCACACATACTATGCTGAGTATGTGGAGGTCAGATAACATCTTGATAGAATCAGTTCTTGCTTTCCACCATGTATCCGGCTTGAGTCATCAGACTTGACAGCAAGTACCTTTACTAGCTGAGCCATCTGACCACCCTCCCTCTCCCTTTCCCTTCCTTTTTTAGCCATTTTTAAAGTACAGATATGGTTTGATTCTGCATTGGAATTCTAATTTCTAAAAACTTCTCCATTACAGACTTACTGGCAGTTATTTTCTTTATATCTTTTCTTGAAATGTTAAGAAATGTTCTTTCTCTTAACTAAGTGTGAAATAGTAAGTTTCTAAAGAGAGAACCTAAATATTTTGTCATCTGGTTTCCTTTTTTAGGTTTTGGCTCAGCTCATAAACATGAATCTAAGAGTATTTATGAATTGCCAATCTAAACTTTCTGACATGCCTTTAAAAAGGTAAATATGCCGTTTAAGGAAACAATCTTAAAAAATTGTACCAAATCCAAAAGCTAGTACTGAGTGCTGAAGAATCAAGTGGGCTGATAGGTGGGTGTTGTGTTTATATCAAATTATTGCTCTAGACAGATGTTGTAAGAACATAGTTTGAGCAAGGAGGCATTTAGATGGCATTAACCTAAGCTACTTGCACATGTGCATTTCATTTTAAAAGAAGAGTTGCTGTAAGCTGCCATATATATGTAGGAAGCTTGCTCTGGCCATTATGGAAGAAGTGGTACAGTGATAGTGGTAACTCAGCACATGCTCTGGTTGTGGGAAACTTCTTCCTAGATGAGGGGCAGAGTTCTGTAGATACATTCTTAATGGATTACAGTTTTTCAAATGACCAAAGGAGTCCCAGGTTCCACTATTAGCCTTGTATAAAGAAATGTTTAATTACTACAATGCTGAGAAGCCAAACACCATTAGGAATCAGATTTTAAAAGACAATGAATTCTCTTCAAAGGGAGGATAGTGCTTAGGAGGATGATGATGACCCTGACAGCCACTCGTATGAAGGAATGGTCTCCCTGCAGTCTTCCTACCAAAAGATGGCTTTGCTCATTTGTTTCCTAATCTGTAATTAGGGCCAGATCTATTTTGTTGTGACTTGTGTGGATGCTTGGGAACTCCAGGGTTGTGGTTGCATCAAAAACATGTGACACTCTTACTTTCATTTCAGCTTTTACCGTTACGTCTTAGAACCAGAGATTTCATTCACCTCTGACAATAGCTTTACTAAGGGTCCAATAGCAAAGTTTTTGGATATGCCACAATCTCCGCTGTTCACTTTGAATTTGAATACACCTGAGAGCTGGATGGTAGAATCTGTCAGAACACCATACGATCTTGATAATATTTATCTAGAAGAGGTAAGAATATTATTCCTCCCAAATAGCTAATCCTATATAAAATCTGTGTATAGTCTGGTTAATGGCAATTTACCAAACTGAATGGCAGGCATCATTGTTCACATATAATGTGCCTTTTACAGCATCTTAATTCAGATTCATTCATGTCAGTAAAGTGTTTTTTTAAAGTGTTATATCAGAAGTTTTGGTATAGTCACAGAACTGTGTTGCTGTCTCTACTATCTCGATTTAGTTTGCTTTTATTGCGCCCTGAAGAGGCTCCCTACCTGTATCCGTTACTTTTCTTGTTGTTGCAAATAAATACATCACAAAAAGCAATGAACAGGGGGGATGTGGGGGAATGGTTTTATTTGGGCACCCGAGAATGCAGTCCCTAATGGTAGGGAAGCGGTGATTGTAGAAGTGGCTTTTTCTGTTGCACCAACCAAGAAGCAGATAAAGGAGAGTTCAGGTGACTTTCTCCTCCTTTCTTTCTTATTCATTCCAGGTCCCCAGCCCATGGAATGGTGCTGCCCACATTCAGGCTGGGTCTTTCCTCCACTGTTAAACCTCTCTGGAAAGACCCTCACAGATTCACTCAGAGGTGTCTCTCCTAGGTGATTCCAAATCATTCAAGTTGACAGTGAAGGTTAATCATCACAGAACTCATTAACCTTCACTCCCTCTTTCCCTTGGCAGCTATTAATGTGCTTTTCTATTTTGGTGTTATGTCTAATTAGAGTCATACAACAAATGATCTTTTGTGACTAACTTCTTCCACTTAGCAAATTCTTTTCCGAAGTACATCCATGTTGTAATATGTACCAGTACTTTTTTTTTTAAATTGCCAGATAGTATTCCATTGAATAGATATACCATAATTTATGTATCCATTCATGAGTGAGGATTGGGTTGTTTCTGTTTGAGGGCTCTTATATATAATGCTGCTGTGGATATCATGTACAAACTTTTGTACCCATCCATTACCATATACTGTAAATTCTTTTCCTTTAGGAGCTTAAAGTCTCCAACAATGTGTAGAGTCTTATCCTTTCATTTATATTTTTGGACTGTATTATATTTTCTTTCTTTCTCCAGTAAAGTTTTTATAATTACATAGTCATTAGCCACCATCCCAATCAAGATACAGAGCTTTCTGTCCCTGAAAGTTTGTGATACCTCTTTGCAGGTTACTCCCTACCCCCATCTCAGTCAATGAGTGATCTACTTTCTATGACTACACAGAAAGTTTTGCCTTTTTAAAAAATTTCTTAAAATAGAATCACATTCGGCCGAGTGTGGTGGCGCACGCCTTTAATCCCAGCACTTGGGAGGCAGAGGCAGGCAGATCTTTGTGAGTTTGAGGCCAGCCTGGTCTACATAGTGAGTTCTAGGACAGCTGGGGCTACAGGGAGACCCTGTCTCAAAAAAAGACAAAAAAAAAAAAAAAGAAAGAAAGAAAAAAAAAAAAAAATAATGTAAAAAAAAAAAAAAAAAAAAAAAAAAGAAAGAAAGAAAAAAAAAAATAGAATCACATTGTATGCATTTTTTGTCTGCTTTATTCAATTGGCAAAGTGGTTTTTTTTTTTTTTCTTTTTTACATTATTCATTTATTTTGTGGGAGAAGGTGGATAGCACCACAGGCACACATTTGGTAGCCAGAGGATAGCTTGTAAGAGTCAGATCTCTCCTTCCACTAGGTGGAATCTGGAAATCAAACTCAGGTTCTCAAGCTCAGGGGCAAGTGCCTTTACCCACTGAATTATCTACCTGGTCTCTGGAGATTGGTTTTGGGTCTGTTCATAAATAATCTGAAGTGATTTAGTCTTGCTTTTTCAGGTGGATAGCATTGTGGCTGCTGAATATGAGCTGGAATACTTATTGCTAGAAGGTCATTGCTACGACATCACCACAGGCCAGCCACCACGAGGACTGCAGTTCACCTTAGGAACTTCAGCCAACCCTACAATCGTTGACACGATTGTTATGGCCAATCTGGTAAATAATCACTTTATCAGATGGTAAGACTTGAATCCAGTCAATCATGGTAATGTGGGCCCTATAATTATGATGGAACAGTTAACATTCTGAATTAGAGAGTGAAGTAAAAATTCAAATTGAATTTAGCCAGTGTAAAAGTCATTAGTTTGGTTAAACTTGGAGATTCTTGTTACAATTTAACAACAAAATTACACTGCCATGCTCTGCTGTGTCTGAACTGGACTCTGAAAGTGCAAGCACTGCTAGCCTGGTTCTTTTCATTGGAAGACCCAGTGTGTTCACCCGGCACACACTTATCCTCTGTGAGGCACAGTGAGCAGACTTCTTGGCTTCACTGACTAGTTTTTGCTGGAGATTTGGGGTTTTAGTTTGGTTTTTGCTTTATTTTGTTTGAGACAGGTTCTCACTGTGTAACCCTAGCTGACTGACCTGAAACTCAAGAGATCTGCCTAAGTGCTGGGAGTAAAGGCTTATACCATAGTGCCAAGCCTTTTTTTCTCCCCATTTCCCTGATTTGTTAACTGTCTTTAAATTTTTTTTCTTTTGATTGCCAGGCGTGGTTCACGCCTTTAATCTCAGCACTCGAGGCAGAAGCAGGTGGATCTCTGTGAGATCCAGGCCAGTCTAATCTCCATAGCAAATCCAAGCCAGCTGGGGCTACAGGGAGACTCTGACTCAAAAGACCAAAAAAAACTGAAAATAAATAAAAATAAAAAATTGCCTTTTATCTGGAGAACAAGGCTCTGGCTTCAAACCCCCAGTAGCATTGCCCCCCCAATAAAAAAACTTTTATATATATTTTTAGACACACACTCACACACCACACACTCACACACCATACACAAACACGGTCTAATAAGATAATTTCAAAAGAAAACATAAGAATCCATCAGAAACAACATTTTGGAGTTTTAGAGAAAACTGAAATTTGTCTTTTTTTGTGTATGTCCTAGGGCTACTTTCAGCTCAAAGCCAACCCAGGAGCTTGGATCCTCAGACTAAGGAAGGGGCGCTCTGACGATATTTATAGAATCTACAGGTAGGATTAAGTGATCCAGCTGCATTTTTTGAGACCATTTCAAAGAGACTCAGCTCTACCTGGCCTTCCCCAGACCTCATGTATTTAATTTATAGCCATATGTGTAGCAAAACAGCTTTCTGGTACAGTAAATATAGAAGAAGAATGTATAGAGGATTGGTTGACAGGAAGTGAAACACTGATTACAGTGAGGTTGTATTTGCCAGTAGTTCTCTGTACCCACAATGTCCCAGAATGAAATCATTCTGTCCCTGTGATACAGACCAAAGGTAGATGAGAAACTTACTCCATTTGATTGGGTCTAATTTTGGAAGCTAACTGAGATTGGGCCTAGTAAATACTTGGATGGGAAGATATATGTCTTGACCCTGAGTAGTAAATACTTGGATGGGAAGGCATATGTCTTGACCCTGAGTGATTTATGCATGCACAGTAAGTATGAGTTTTGGCAATTAAGCTTTACTGTCAGTCCTAGTGCTTGGGCTGTGGTTGTATAATAGTACTCCTAAAACATACCTGTTAGTGACCAGGCATTGCCTTGAGGTCTACTGCACCTACTAGTAACAAAACAAACCCCAAACACCATTTAAAAGCTTTGATCTAGAGGGCGGGAGAGATTGCTCATAACAGTTAAGAGCACTTGCTGATATTCCAGAGGACCCAGGTTAAGTTTCCAGCACCCACATGGCAGCTAACAACTGTCATTAACTCCAGTTCTAGGGACTCCAGTGCCCTCTTCTGGCTTCTAGGAGAACTGCATGTGAGTGCACTTACATACATGCAGACAAAACACTCATACACATAAAATAAAAATAAGAGCTAGAGATGGCTCAGTGGTTAAGACAACTTGCTGTTAAGAACACCTGGGTTTGAGTCCCAGCACCCACATGGCAGCTAACAACTGTCCTTAACTGTAGTTCCAGGGGATCCAATACCCTTTTCTGGCCTTTGTCAGGCATCGCGCACGTGGTACACTTAGATACATGCAGGTAAACAACTCATACACATAAAATAAAAATAATAAATATTTTTTGAATAAAAAAATAAATCTTTGTTCAGGATCTGTCATGTGCTCACCATGCCTGGGGGCTTGTCACTGTTCAGCAGGTAATTTGAAGGAAGATTTATGAAGGAAATCAGGCATTCGTCTCATCTAAATTTCCATGAATATTTTTGTATACCATGAGGGAGCTTTGGATTGTAAGGAAACAACTGGTCTGGAAAGCTTGCTTATGATAAATTGGTGGAAAAATTCAGCATTTACTACATTTTGTGAGTTGTGATTTATAATAATTGTCTTGTTTTTCTCTCTAAGCCATGATGGTACAGATTCTCCTCCTGATGCAGATGAAGTTGTTGTCATCCTCGATAATTTCAAAAGCAAGATCATTAAAGTGAAGGTGAGTTTGATATGCTACAGCAGCCACCTGTTTATAGTTGGTAAATAACCCCATTGGATCACTGTCATATAAGAATATAGACAGCAGCCCTTCCTGTGCCAGCGACTCAGTCATCCATGGTCAACCAACCACAGTCCAGAATACTGGTACTTGTTTGGATTCTTTTGAGAAAATGCACATGTACATTACTTTATTGCAGTATAAAGTAAGAATTATTGTTATAATATTCCATTTTACTATTAGTTATTGTGAATCTTATGTGTCTAGTTTACAAATTAGGCTTTATCATAGGTGTGTTTTTATGAGCAAAACTATAGTATATACAAGGTTCTGTACTATCTGAGGTTTCAGGTATCTACTGGGAGTCTTAGAGTGTTTCCCCCACACATAAAAGGGAACAGCTGCATTTTGAAACCAGCCTAATATTCAATTTGGAGTTTTACCAGCTCTAAGAATATTGCCAAGGGCAAATGTCTTTGTGAAGATGAGCTTCTAGTTTTCTTTAGCCGAGAGATTGTATTTTGGATAATCTCAGAATACTGGGGGAAATTCCAATGAACATTCAACAATAAAATAGTAGTTTTTCCAGGCATGGTGGGACACATACTTAATTCCAGCACTTAGGGAGATAGAAGCAGGAAGATCAAGAGGTCAAGGCCAGCCTGGGCTGCATAGTAAGTTTGAGAATAGCGTGATGATACCTTGTCTCAAGAAAAAATTTTTGTTTAGTGTTTTCTGATGCTATCTTTCTTAGGCATTTTGAAGGTCTTAGTATCTTAAAGTAAAATATTATAGAATGAGTAATCATTGTACACCTAAAGTCAAAATGACTGCTGAAGAGAGGACTTAGGTTTAGTGAAACCTAAAGTCAAAGAAGACTGCAGAAGAGAAGATTCATCCTTTGTGTTAGTAAATCCTAAACACAGACCAAGACCATCATGCCTATCTCCTGACAGCGCCTGTAGGCCCCATTCTATCCTAGAAGTTGCTGTTAGCTAGTTGAAGTATACATCTGAGTTTACTAATTGTGTGTTTTGAATTTGATCTTTGACTCACTGTATAAACTGAACATGATTATCATTTAATTAGAAGAGATTGAAAGCTCCTTCCTGAAGACTCTTAATGTGGGTGTTCTGATAAGCACACTTCCTTTGAATACTGAGAGACTCTGGGTGGGGTTCTGTAGATTGGCTGATTGATTCCTTTGACAGTACTTCAGTACACATCAGGTTTATGGCTATCAGACCTACTAGGAGGAATAAGATCCCTCACATACAATTGCAGGTTCAGAAGAAGGCAGACATGGTGAACGAAGACTTGTTGAGTGATGGAATGAATGAGAACGAATCTGGATTTTGGGACTCATTCAAATGGTAAATTGGCATTGTTAGAAAAGTTACATTTTGAAGGAAAAACAGAGATAAGTGCCATGTACCCTCCCCTCCTTTTGAGTGTGGCAGTTCCTTCTGGGCTTTTCACATTTTGCCTCTTGCAACTAGATTGTGCACTTTCACTTGGAGTTGATTAACTGAAAGAGGGAAGGTGCCTAGCTTGCTTCTGCCCCAGCTAGCATGGAACTTACTATGTAGACCAGACTGGCCTCAATCTCACAGAAATCCCCCTACATCTGCCTCCCAAGTGCTGGGATTAAAGGTGTATACCACACCCATCCCTCCCCTCTTCACTCTTGGTGGGTGGGGCCTGCATTATTCATTTAACTTCCCATTGGTCAGATTGTGTCTTTGGAGCAGCCTGTGTTCCATCTATTCCTAATGACATGGTACCTTGGTGTAGGTATCCTCCTTATTACTTTGTGAGGTGTCCTTGTCCCTGTGCCCCTTCCCAGTGTCTTTGGGAAGTCTTTCTTCTAGGGCAGGAATGGGCAGGCGCTGTCTTTCTCCTCTCTCCTGAAAACCCAGCATTATAAGTGGTCCTTTTTCTACCTCTGTCATTACAGGGGCTTTTCAGGACAGAAGACGGAGGAAGTAAAGCAAGATAAAGATGACATAATCAATATTTTCTCTGTTGCATCTGGTCATCTCTACGAAAGGTTTCTTCGGTTCGTTTTGATTATTTGTTAAATGTACATGAATTTGTTACAGTGTTCTTATTTTTTAGACACTATACTTATGTGTATATGAGTTCTCTTAGGGCTGTGGATAGCTGGCCACATGTAATTCTGTTTGTTTTGATCTGGTCAACTCAATGAAGTTGAGCTTGGTAATGAGTACCTCTGTGTGAATATTATAAGACCATGAACCTTTAATGTCCTATGCATACATCTCATAGACAGTGGTGGTTACTTGGCCATCCAAATTGCTTCGACCAGGAATTAGGGGATTGGCGTAGAATAGACCAGAACCCTAGTTCTATAGTACTTGGCCACCTTCCACAGATCCACAGGGTTTTACAGCCAAGAAGGATCTTAATTTTTATATGAGAACACCTTTGTTTGATAAGGTAAAACCTAAAACAGAAGAGAATTTTCCCAGGTCCTGCAATTAGAGGCATGATAAGACACAGCCTGAACTTGGTGTGGTTGTCACTGTATGCTCTCAGGATCAGCTTGTCACTATGTGTGGGAGCTTGATTCTGATGACACACTACCTTGCAAGCAATTGTCCCAATTTTCAGAGCTGGTCTTTCTTTAGTTTTCACTTTAAATCTGGTATAGAAAATAACTAAAATGTCATTTGGGTAATTTTTAACCCTTCTATATCCAATAAATATTTGAGTTAAAATAATGGCAGTGGAGACTACTTAATTGGATGCCTTGGACCAGGAATCCTGAGCCTGTTACTCTGGTTTCCCTTTCCCTTTCCTGATCTTCTCTTTCCCAGAGCTCTCTGTCCAGGCTGAGGGAGGCTGTGCATGTACCTGCTCATTCCTCAATGTTGCTATGGCTGGCCAGGTTGGAGAATGATGAAACCATAATCTCTAGTGTTAACTCATACCATAGGTGATATGTCAGTTCATGAGGTGATCCTTTTAAAGGTACAACATAATTAATGTTTGTCTCTACCTATTAGGAGTAGGTGTATAAGGAAATCCCCTAGCTCTCATTCAGTGACAACTTTGTAAGTAGAATAAGCACATTTTCCATTACTGAAGGTCCCTTTGCCTAATTGAGCCATAAGTTAGCTCTGCTGTCTATCTTGTGATTGGAGCTACTAATGTTGTTGACGTTAAAAAGCACTGAAAAATCATTATTTGTTTTTGTTTGGCAGTATAATGATGTTATCGGTGCTGAAGAATACCAAAACTCCTGTAAAATTCTGGTTCTTGAAGAATTATTTATCCCCCACATTTAAGGTTTGTTCATAGGGAAAAGAAAAACATTTTTTTTTAAAAGAATATTTTATTTATTATTTTTATTTTATGTGTATAAGTGTATTACCTTCATGTAAGTAAGTGCACCCATGTCACGCAATGCCCACAGAGGTCAGAAAAGGAAGTCGGATCCTCTGGAACTGGAATTTTGGACAGTTGTTAGTCAACATGTAGGTGTAGGGAACTGAACCAGGGTCCTCTGCAAGAGTAGCCCGTGCTAAGAATATTTTATTTATTATTTTTATTTTATGTGTATAAGTGTATTACCTTCATGTAAGTAAGTGCACCCATGTCACGCAATGCCCACAGAGGTCAGAAAAGGAAGTCGGATCCTCTGGAACTGGAATTTTGGACAGTTGTTAGTCAACATGTAGGTGTAGGGAACTGAACCAGGGTCCTCTGCAAGAGTAGCCCGTGCTCATAACCAGTGAGTCATCTCTCCAGTCTCCTGAGAAAAACTTTTTTTTTTTTTAAATTTTATGTGTATGCATGTATTGCCTGTCGTGCAATGCCCGCAGAGGACAGGAGAGGCTGTTGGAGCCCCTGTAGCTGGAGTTATGGACAGCTGTTAGCTACCACATGGGTGCTGGGATTCAAAACCAGGTCTTCTGCAAGAACAGCCCGTGTTCTTAACTACTGACCCATCTCTCCAGCCCCAAGAAAAACATTCTTGTTAACAGAATATTTACGTTACATTATAACATATTCTTTTCTACTTTTGTTTTATCTGTACACTTATTTTTGAGTCCTTTCATTAGGATACTCAAACTTTGTTGTCTTTCATTGTTGCTTTTTCTTCCAGATGGCTCTATTTTGGTAAAAGTGATTATAAAACTAAACCCAAAATTATAGTTTATTTGAAGCTTGGATAATACAGGAGAGTCTTTGTCTTTTGTAAGAAACAGTGTTTTAAAGAAATAATAATCCCTTCATCTGAAGCATGCATATCTTGCTTTAATTTAGAAAGCACAAAAATGATGTATTTTGAGAGTGATTAATTTTTTTTCTTTTTTTTTTTTTTTTTGTTTCTTTTTGAAGCAGGGTCTCCCTGTAGCCCCAGCTGTCCTGGAACTCACTATGTAGACCAGGCTGGCCTTGAACTCACAGATATCCACCTGCCTCTGCGTCCCAAGTGCTGGGACTACAGGTATGTGCCACCATGCCCTGCTGAAAATGATTAATTTTCTAATGAGCCTCTGCCAGTGAGACATGAAAGGATGTTAAACCCACTTGCAGTTTCCTGATTGACTTGTATCAACCAGAGTTTATTTTTCTTGTATTGTCCTTTTTTTTCTATAGAATTTACTAAGCAACTTTGAATGTAGTTAGTGGTGACTCTCCTAGATAAGTAGTTTACTTTTGGTCCCCTGAACATACTAGTATTTGGAATCTGAAAGACTAGTTAATAGAAGCAAATTTATCCAGACTTTTGGCTCTGCCATGTTAATCACTAGATTAGACCTAGCCTTGAGAAAGTTGTATTATGAAGCTCAAAATGTGTTTTACTAAAATCAAGTGTAGATAAATGGAGTTAGAGCTTATGTGCCTTAAACATATAGCAAGAGCTAGAAGCCTTCACCTTCAGATTTCTATCTTTTCATGTGGTTACTAAAAGCCATCAAAGAAATGAGCATTGGACAGGAGTTTATATGTAGTCACAAGTGAGTTAGGGCCAAATTTCCAACTAGACTTGTTTCAGCATATGTGTTTTATTTGTACTGTAATAATAGTGGCTGGCTTAAATTAAGAAGTCAGTTTTCTTTATCAGAATGAATGACTGTTGTTCTCTGTGTCTAAAAATAGGAGTTTATACCTTACATGGCCAACAAGTACAATTTCCAGTATGAACTTGTTCAGTACAAGTGGCCACGGTGGCTTCATCAGCAGACAGAGAAGCAGCGTATCATCTGGGGCTACAAGATTCTCTTTCTGGATGTGCTTTTCCCACTAGTTGTTGACAAATTCCTGTTTGTTGATGCTGACCAGGTAAACTCTTACACACTAAATCTTAATAGTTTGTATTAAATACAATTGGTTTCCTTTTCCTTTTTTTTTTTTTTCACACTTGATATTTGTTTACTTATCTTGTTTGGAACAAAAAGGAAAGAATTCACAATCCACAACCTAAGCACCTCTCATTTCCCTCCTCCACCTCCCTCTGTATCCCCTCCCAACATATCCCCCTCCAAACTTCATGTCTTTTCTTTCTTCCTTTATTTTTCGTAACCTACTAAGTCCAATTAGTACTGCCCATGAGTATTGTGCCATCCACTGAAGCATGGGAATCCTATCAGTAGCCACATCCTCAAAAAAGAATAATTCTCCCTCTCATAGCTGCTGTGAGTTCATGAGTGCAACAGCCATGTAATGTCCAGAAGACAGCATCTCACAGCACTCCTCCCCATCCTCTGGCTCTTACAGTCTTTCCACCTCTCCTCAATGTTCCCTCAGCCTTGGGGGTGAAGGAGTGATATAGACAGACCATTTTGAGTTGGCACTCAGTCTCTTATTCTTTTTTTAAAAAATATTTTATTTATTATTTTTATTTTATGTATATGCATATATAGCCTGCATGTAGGTAAGTGCACCCGTATTGTGCAGGGCCCGCGGAGGACAGAAGAGACCATCAGATCCCCTGGAACTGGAGTTAAGGACAGTTGTTAGCTGCCATGTGGGTGCTGGGATTCAAACCCGGGTCTTCTGCAAGAACAACCAGTGATCTTACTGAGCCATCTCTCCAGCCCTCAGTCTCTTATTCTTAGCATTTTGACCAGTTATATATCTTTCCATTGACTGCTGCCCACTGCGAAAAAGAAGCTTCTCTGACTAAGGTTGAGAGCAGCCCAATTCTCTGAGTATAAACATAAATATTTAGACAGCATTTTGAGAACATGACCATTTAGCAAAATAACAATAGCAGGTTCTACCCTAGGGCCTATGACCTCCACAGCCACATGCTTTGACCAAGATTATACGCATGAATTAATTTTGGGGGAACAAGACTCAAAACCAGTCAAAAAGTGGTTAGTTACCCATAATAGTCATGCTACTATTGCATCAGTACATCTTGCCTTGAAGGTCAGTATTGTAGCACTGGCTAGCACCATTGATGATTTTTCTCCCCTAGCAGCCTGCATAGCACCTTCCAACACAAGGAAAGCTAGCCAGTCAGGAAGAAGTTCCCCAGTTTAAGACTGATTTGTCTATATCCTATAAAAAGTGTATGGTGTCCAAAGTGGTGTCCTCCACAATAGTCTTACTATGTAGTTCTGGTGGGTAAGCGAAGGCAGTGGTAACAGCTGGTGTTATTTTAGAGTCTTGTGGGCCCTCCCTGACCAACTTGTAGGGAGGTGTCCCCATGCTTTCTGTTGTGTTTTTCATGTAATAACCCATGTATTCTGGGAACACCATTGTCTACCCATTCAGAGTAATTCTGTTCACTCTTTAATTTTACGTTGTATTTTGAAATCAGATTACTAATTACTGGATTTCCATAAATTTTAATTTTGGTTAGCCTACGTCCATCTCTTCCTCTCACCCATCCCCTGGCTCCATCCCGACTTAATCCTTTAACCCTTGTATTCCCTCCCCCTTTTTTTCATTTCACATGTGTTGTCTTCTCTTTGCTCTCAGTTTTTTTTTTTTCAATTGGGTTGTGAAATAGTAGGCTTCTATGTGGGTTTTCATATACCTTTCCATTAGGTTGACCCTCTGCTCCGCCCTTTGTTTCTACCATATTCCTGTACCCCTCTGTGCTTAAACCTACCACTTTCCATATTCCACTTCTCTACTTTTATCTGTAATCTACTATCTCCCTCCCTTAACGTGATCCTCGCTCCCTAACCCCAAGGCCCCTTTCTAGTTTCCTGGCTTCTGCTTATGCCCCAAGTTAAATACACAAAACAAAAGATTTGAAGTTAGGACTGTTGTATGAGAGCGAGCATGTGACATTTGTCTTTTGGAGCCTGGTGACCTCGCTCAGTATAATTTTTCCCACTTCCATCCATTTACCTGCAAATTTCATTTTTCTTTACAGCAAAGTATTCTTTTCTGTATGTGTACCACATTTTTCTTATCCATTCATCTGTTGATGGACACCCAGGCTGATCCTATTACCTAGCTATTGTGAACAGAGCGCAGTGACTATGGATGTGCAAGTGTCTCTGGAGTGGATATAAAATCTGTTCGGTATATGCCTAGGAGTGATATAACTAAGTCATATGGCAGTTCTAGTTTTCTGAAAAACTTTCAGATTGATTTCCAAAGTGGTAGCACTAGTCTGCTTTCCCACCAACAGAGAAGAGTTTCCATATCCCTCACATCCACACCAGCATTTGTTGTCATTTGTATTCCTGATGATGACCAATCTGACTGCAGTGAGATGAAATCTTAAAGCAATTGTAGTTTTGGGGCTAGAGAGATGGCTCAGCGGTTAAGAGCCCTGACTGCTCTTGCAGAGGATCTGGGTTCGATTCCCAGCACCCACATGGCAGCTACGAACCATCCTTAACTCCAGTTCCAGTGGAATCCAAAGCCCTCTTCTGATCCCGGTGGCATTGCACAACACGGATGCACTCACATATACACATAAAATAAAAACAATAAATAAAAATTTTTTTTTAAAAGTAATTGTAATTTGCATTTCTCTGGTGGCTAAGGATGTTGAGTGCTTTTTAAAAATGTTCCCCAGCTGTTTGCGTTTCTTCTTTTGAGAATTTTCTTCAGTTCCGTAGGCCATTTTTTAATTGAGTTGTTTATTTTCTAATGTTTAATTTTTTGTGTTATTTGTATATTCTACACAATAATCCTTTGTCAAATGAATACCTAGCAAAGGTTTTCTTCCATCCTGTGGGCTGCTTATTTGCTCACTACTGTTTTCTTTGATATAAAGAAGCTTTTTAGTTTCATGAATTTCATTTGTTTATTGTCTTACTTTGTATGCTGCTAGAGTTTTACTCAGAGAAGCCTAACCTGTGCCTGTAAGTTGTGGTGTGGTCTCTATTTTTTTCCTCTAATAATTTCAGAGTATTATGTCTTATGTTGAAGTCCTCAGTCCATTTGAAGTTGAGTTTTGTGCAGGGTGAGAGATAAGTATCTAGTTTTATTTTTCTGCATGTTAAAATCCAGTTTTCCCACACCATTTGGTGAGGATGCTATCTTTTCTCCAATGTATATTTTTGAAAATCAGGTAACTAGTTGCATGGACTTATATCTGTTTCCTCAGTTACATTCAGTTGATAGATATCTGTTTTTGTGCCCGTACCATGCTGTATTTATTACTATGGCTCTGTAGTATAAGTTAAAATCAGATAAGGCGATATCTTGTATAGTATTCTTTTCAATCAGGATTGCTTTGGCTATCCTTGGTGTCTTGTACCTCCATATGAATTTGTGAATGACTTTATTTATATGTCTATAAGGAATGGCATTAGAATTTTTACTGGGATTGCATTGTAGATTGCTTTTAGTAGGATAGCCATTTTCACAATATTAACTCTTCTAATTCATGGACATGAATGTCTTTCCATTTCCTAGTGTCTTCCTCATTTTCTTTCTTCAGTGCTTATTAAAATTTTCATTTTAGAGGTCTTTGATTTTTTTGGGGGGGTAAGTTTTATTCCCAGGTTGTGTGTGATTTATATGTGGCTCTTGTTTCCCTCATTTCTTTTTCAGTCTGTTGTTGGTATAAAGGAAGGCTATTGATTTTTGTATTTTGATTTTGTATCCTGTCACTGTGCTGAACATGTTTATTAGCTCTAAGACTTTTGTGGTGGACTTTAAGGTCTCTTATGTGCAGAATACTATCATCTACAAAAAGGGATACTTTGACTTTTCATATTTGTGTTCCATTTTTTTCCTTCTCTTGTCATATTGCTGAAACTAAGACTCCAAGCACTGTATTAAACAGGAGTGGAGAGTGGACACCTTGTTTTGTTCCTGATCTTAGTGGGAATGCTATGAGTTCTTCTCCATTTACTCTGATGTTAGCTATAGGTTTGTTCTTTTTTTTAAAAAAAAAAAAGGGTTTTTTTCTCTTTTGGGGGGGGATTTGTTTTTTTTGTTTGGTTTTTTTTTTTTTGCTTTTTTGCATTTGTGTTACTTCACTTATACTTTCTAGTTCCATCCATTTACCTGCAAAGGTTAGTTCTATATAAACTTTTTTATGTTGAAGTATGCTTCCTTCATCCCTAGTCTCTCTGTGGCTTTTATCATGAAAGGATGCTGGATTTTGTCAGACTTATTATATAATTGAGAGGATCATGTGATTCTGTCTTTTAATCCATTAATGTGATGAATTATATTTATTGATTTATGTATGCTGAACCATAAAGTGGGAGAAAACTAACTTGGTCCTGATGAATGATATTTGTGATGTGATACTGAATTCCGTTTTTCTGTTTGTAAATATTTTACTGAGTATTTTTGCATCTATGTTCATCAGATCAGTGTATAATTTTCTTTTCTTATTTTTGTGTCTATCTAGTTTTAATATCAGTAATATTGACTTTATTAAAAAAGTTTGAAGGTATTCCTTTCCTATTTTATGGAACACTTTGAGTAGTGTGGTGTTTAGGTTTCTTTGAAATACTGTTAGAATTCTGTGGTGAATCCATGTGATCTTGGGCTTTTTTTACTTAAGACACTTTTTATTACTGCATCAGTCTCATTGCTGGTTATTTATTTCATCTTGGTTTAATTTTGTATGTTTTAAATGCATCTAGAAATTCATCCATTTCTTTTAAATTTTCTGATTTAGTAGAGTATAGAATTTTTTGTTTTTGTTTTTGAGACAAGTTCTTCCTGTAGCGCCATCTGGCCTGGAACTCACTATGTAGACCAGGCTGGCCTTGAACTTACAGAGATCCTCCTGCCTCTGCCTCCCCAGTGCTGGGATTAAAGGCATGAGCTACCACGCCTGGCGAGTATAGGATTTTAGGGTATGTCCTCATGATTTTCTGAATTTCTTTTTTTTTTTTTTCGGTCTTTTTGAGATAGGGTCTCCCTGTAGCCCCAGCTGTCCTGGAACTCACTATGTAGACCGGGCTGGCCTGGCCTTGAACTCACAGAGATCCGCCTGCCTCTGCCTCCCAAGTGCTGGGACTACAGGTGTGCGCCATCACGCCCGGCTCATTTTATTAATTTTTTTAATATTTTTTATTTTTATTTCATTAATTTCTGCCCTGATTTTTTAAATGTTTTATTTATTATTTTTATTTTTATGAGTGTATTGCCTACATGTATGAAAGTGCGCCCATGTCGTGCAATGCCCATGGAGGTCAGAAGAGGACATTGGAGTCCTCTGCAAGAACAACCCACTAGTCCTCTTAGCTGCTGAGCCATCTCTCCAGCCCCTCTGCCTTGGTTTTTATTGTTTCTTCCCAGCTACTGTTGAAGGTACTGTTGTTCTTGTTTTTCCGAGGCCTTCATTTAATGTATTTATTTGCGATTTCTCAAAATTTTTGATGTAGACATTTAGTGCTATAAATTTCCCTCTGCCTTTATTATATCCCATAGATTTTGATATGTTGTATCTTCATTTTAATTCAATTCTTGTAATTTCTTTTGTTCCCTTTTGATTTTTTTTTCAGGGATCCATGTATCATTTAATAATGTGTTATTTAATCTCCCATGAGTTGATGTGTTTCTGTAGTTTCTATTGCTGTTGACATTTAGCTTTATTCCATTATGGTCAGATAGAATACAGGAAGGTTTTTTTTTTATCTTTTTGAGACATGGTCTCATTGTGTACTCCCGGCTAGCCTGGAACTCGATATGTAGACTAGACTGGCCTTAAACACACAGAAATCCACCTGTTTCTGCCTTCTTAATTCTGGGATTAGTAGTTTAGTTAATGCCCAGAAGTTAATTTTCCTATATTTGATAAGACTTGCTTTGTGTCCTAATATGAGATCAGATTTGGAGAAAGTTCCTTGGGCTGCTGAGGAGAGTGTGTATTCATTAGTGTTTGGGTAGACCATTCTATAGATGTCTGTTAGGTCCATTGTATTTTTGATGTCATCTAATTCCAGTGTTTCTTTGTTTATTTTTTTTGTCCAGATGACCTGTATATTGGTGAAGGTGGGGTATTGAAGTCACTCTCTGTCACTGTGTTGGCTTTACATGTAGTATTTGTTTCATAAAATTGAATATACCTGTATTTGTTGTATATACCTAGGTTTAAAATAATCTCTTCTTAGCCAGGCATGGTGGCACACACCTTTAGTCCCAGCACTTGGGAGGCAGAGGCAGGTGGATTTCTGTGAGTTCAAAGCCAGCCTGGTCTACATAATGAGTTCCAGGCCAGCTGGGGCTACAGGGAGACCCTTGTCTCAAAAAGACCACAAAATAATAATCATCATCATCATCATCATCATCATCATCATCATCTCTTCTTTTTTTATATGTATTCTTCAGCTGAGACAGCAAAAGAGATGATTTATTATACACAGGTTATACTTGGCCACAAGTGAGAACAGAACTAATCCAGAATGTCACAGGTTCAGGACAGAGGGTCAATAGGGACTGTTGTGGTTGTAATCAAGGCAGTGTCTGAGGTGGTCTCTGTCATCAGGTCCACTGAGATGAGTTATCAATAGTAGCATGTAGTCCAACAATTTTACCAGCGCCCCAGCCCCTGGCATTCCCGATTTCTGATCCTGCAGCCTCCATTGGTGCACAAGTTTGTTTATTTGGCCTCTGCCTCATCTTTCTTCTCTTGCACTTCAGCCTGTGCATTCATTTCTTCCTCTACTTCCCTCTCATGGTAGAGGAGTGTCAAGTTATCTCTGACTGATTTGATTTGAATTCTATTTTATTATACATTAGAATAATTATGACTGCTTATATCTTAATTCCTTTTGACTAGAATACCTTTTTCTGCCCTTACACCCGAGAGTGATTTCTATCCTTGGTGATGAGGTGTGTTTCTTGGAGTCAACAAAAAGATGGATCCTGTTTTCTAATCCACTTTGATAGTGTGTGTCTTTTTATTAGGGAACTGAGACCATACTATTTAGAATTACTATTGAAAAAATGAGTATTTTTTCCTACCATTTTGTTGATTGTGTGTGTACATGTGCATGCGTGTGTGTGTGTGTGTGTGTGTGTGTGTGTGTTAAACCTCTTGTGATTGTCTTTATGCTGTGTGTTTCTTCCTATGGCATCTTTGGTGTGTTTATCCTTCTCTTAACACCTAAGTACTCTTTCCAGTATCCTTAGAGCTGACTTAGTGAATTCAGCCTAATTTAAATTTTCAGAACACAGCAGAACATAGCCAGATTTTTTGCCAGACCATAACACAAATGGCCTCTAATCCAATCCCCAATAGCGTCCTCATGCATTCCCATGTGAAACCTCATAAGCAGTCTTCACTGTCTACATTCTGGTCTTATGTACTCTCACCAGAAAGCCCATTAAGCTCTGCCTAGAGCTCTGCAGGGCTTCTCCAGCCCACATACCACAGACTCTTCAACATTCCTCCCACAAACCAATTCCACAGGCCTATAAGCCACGTGATGGGTAATCTCTGTACTGCCCCACTCTAAACTTCTCTGTATTCATTAAGTTGCCTCTTGCTGATGACCAAATACCTATCAGAAGCAACTCTAGGGTGTAGGGTTTGGTTTGGATTACAGTTCAGAGAGTCTAGTCTGTCCTGGCAAGGAAGGCAAAGTGGAGTGACAGGCCATGGTGGTAGGACTGCTTGTTCCCATGGCCATAGACCAATAGAGTCTTAAGCAGGGCCAGACTGTAAACCTTAAAGGGCTGCTCCTAAGAGGCCTTTTACCAGCTGGACTCTACCTGCTAATGACTCCACAGCCTTTGTTCAAAATGGCATCACCTGCTGGGGTCCAAGTACTGTAAACAAGTCTGTGGGGCCATTTCAGATTAAAAGATAAAATCCAGGCTTGTAGAGGAGAGCCTGTGCTGTTACCCACAGAGCTGCCTTCCCTGCTGCCTTGTATGATACATTCTAAGGACGCTGCCTTAGGATTGTCTGCATATTGGTTAACAACATTTGATTTTCTTTTCTGCAGATTGTACGGACAGATCTGAAAGAATTAAGGGATTTTAATTTGGACGGTGCCCCTTATGGTTACACGCCTTTCTGCGATAGCAGAAGAGAAATGGATGGCTACAGGTTCTGGAAATCTGGGTACTGGGCCAGTCATTTGGCTGGACGAAAGTATCATATCAGGTACTGATAAAGGAGTGCTCCCAACAATGTCATCTGGGTTTTCTTAGCTTTGTGAATTGAAAATAGTGAGTAGATAGTATGTTAGTATGGCTTAGGTGAAAAATTCTTCAGTCCTGTCTCTTTTTTATTGTTGTTTTGTTTTTTGGGGTTTTTTTGGGGGGGTCTTTTTGAGACAGGGTCTCCCTGTAGTCCCAGCTGACCTGAACTCCCTATGTAGGGAGTTCAGGCTGGCCTTGAACTCACAAAGATCCGCCTGCCTCTGCCTCCCAAGTGCTGGGACTAAAGGCATGCACCACCACGCCCGGCAGTCCCGTCTCTTTTTATCCAGATGCCCTCAGCAGATTACCTCTCTTACCTGTCTTCTGTTTGTCCTTCCAGAATTTAATTCTCACTGAAACAACTGTGAATATTTATATTCTTTGTTAATACAAAATAACTATCCTCTTTACATTGTGTTATAACTTGAGCTTTTTTTTTTATTTTTTTTTTGAGACAGAGTCTCCCTGCAGCCCCAGCTGGCCTACATAGACCAGGTTGACCTTGAACTCACAAAGATCCTCCTGCTTGGGATTAAAAAAGGTGTATGCCACCATACCTGACTTAACTTGAGCCT